ATCGTACGAAAACAAAACACTCGAACGCAATATCGAAGATGGAAATACTCTGTTTGCTGTGATACACATTATATCAGCTTTTTATTAACAACATCGAATCAAAATAGTTTGTAAGGTGCTTACTTGCATAATCGTCATCAGGCTGGTCATCTGACAGAAAATCAGCACCCGATGTCCACAAGCCTTTAACTTCGGAAGAATGCGGTCAAGTAATTCGAATTTTCCGGAGGCCCGGTATAGCATTTTACCTTCCACTTGAGTGGGCAACGGAACTCCCGGTGGTGGATTGCCACCATGCATCGCAACAAAGTTCTGCTCAGCAATGGCTGATTCAATGTGCGAGAACATGAACGGATGATTGCAAATTTTGCGTAATTGCATGATAGTGTTCATGAGAGTACGACAACCGCCTTTACCCTAAAATAAGAGCGGAAAACAACGAGAATCTAACTCATTGGATGAAGGAAATGTTGAAATGAGGAAAGATTCACTGACTATGGGAAAAACAAAACGGAAACCGCACAGGATAAAAACTCAGAGGAACAATAAACGATTGAAAAAAAAATTAATGAATGAACTTACATTATTCTGATAGGTAGAAGTAATTTAAGGCAAATCACATCCAGATTTTGGATCAAAACGGGAATACGAAAAATTAGTTTCAATCGCTAAAAGTCTAACGACAGTCGACGAATTCAAGATTTAGAGGCGTCTTACGAGTTCTCGTGTTTGATGAGTGGAAGCAAAACAATCCAAAAATGACAGAGACTATATACACGTGCTTACCTTTTTATCCTTTTCTGAACCGTCCGTAAGAATGACTCCTTTAGACTGCATATGCGAATATAAAACACGCTGAAGTGCAGACATCTCGCACTTGATTACATACTCCACTTTTTCCGGTAATTGCGATTCGACTTCACGTTTTAGGCGACGCAACAAGAATGGTCGAAGCACCTTGTGTAATCGACGGATGATAAGCAACGTTTCTTCTTGATTTAGTTCCACCTTTAGAATAATTTAAGCGCAAAACGAAACGCATTCAACATTCATTCCGTGAAGTGAGCGGGAAGAAAATAAAACTAGAATTTTTTAATGGACAGTAAAAAAAGTCAGTTCGAAAGCCGAGTTTCTTTTTTTCAATACTTTCACACCTTAATGTGATGGCGTTCGCTGTAAGCATAGTCAAGTACAAACTTCCACCCGGGTTGCTTTCTTCTAATTGAGCTATTGAAAACCTGGCTAGAACATTTGAAAACTGCAGATACGAACGATCCTGAAGCACTGGAACAGATGATGAACTCCACATTTGGTGTGGGGAACGATTTAGACCAAAATTCATAAACACTCTGGCCTTGCGTCGCTTTGTATATTCGCGGGGTACCACTGGTGAGTAACCCACGATCAATTTAAACCTGTTTAGGTGAGTATTGGGCTGGGACACCGAATGGACTAATCCAAGCATTCACCATCTAAATTGCTTCGGTTTAGTTTCAACAAAATTGCATCAGACCAACAGTTGCCAACTCGATTTCGAAAATATTTCTTCAACGTTCCAAGTAAATGATCGACAGACAACTAATACTGTTATTAATCGCAGGAGCCCTCTGTGATTCACTAGTTGCATCCGTGTATTAAGTTTTCAATCTGTTGAAACTGGAGAAATTTAAGTTTAGCACGCTAGGTACCATACAGAATAAGCCAAATAAGAAAGCAACTAAGGTCAATAATTTCTGTCGATGGATCAGGTGTCCGGACCTCTTTAGACTACGAAGATATCTTGAATGTGTGTAATGAAGCAGATGCCTCAACTCACTAGAGAAATTGTTCTTCACCTCGAGGACCCTGCAGTCTATGAGCACGATGATTAACAGGCATCGATGTTTCAATCGATAGTCAGAGAGAACCTGGAAGTCGTCCGTTTGAACCTCATCAAGATTGGTGGCCCAACGTGACACGCTTACGCTACCAGTTACTGAATAGCAGGTCCATGTGACTATGGGGCTAGCCCCGCTTGCTGTTCATCGCACAACCGTGTAATAAAAACAAACAGGCTTCGGTCGTTGTTAATGGCATGCTTTTGGTTATAGGTTCCGCCGCCACCACCACCACCCAACACTGACGGTGGGCTGTTTCGTTATCTCTCGACCTAATATCGCACAACCTGCGGGGGATTGCGTGGTTCGCCACCTCAAGTCCCGGGGTTAGAGTGCCGGCTTCCAGGAGTGAACCATAGAACTTCATGACTATGAGGTTTACCCTTTCTTTTGTTCATCACACAATAGTATGATAAAAAAAGGAACCACCGTAAAAGAAAAGGGTGACTACCGGAAAAATTGTCAGTTACCCCCGTTGATTAAAATTACCAGGGAAGATGAGAAATTTGGTTCTCAAATGTATCACGCTGATAAAGTTCGTTATGCACTCTCGGCACGATAGATGAATAAGATCATGACGGGATCAATTGGAACAATATTTACTTAGTTGCTTGTCGAATAAATGTGCCATGACCAAACACATCACATTGTGTCAACTCAACTAGCGATGCAAAGTTAGATATTAAATCAAGAAGCCAGTAATATTAGGTAGAACAGAGAGAAGGAATACCCCGGAAGATGTTCAAATGCTTGCTCACTAAAAGTGGGAAGTTAAAATATTTTACCGATATATAGAGTTGAATGACGCAACCACAATTGTCAGTTCATCAGAACAAAAATAGATCGGTTATGATCGTAACTTGGTTTCAGTACGTGCTGGAACAGTCATTAACTATACACCTGGATGCGATGGTTTTGAGTGTGGTAATTGGGCTACTCTTTGGATGAAGAAGTAGGAGGGAGAATGGAAGGTAAATATAGAAGATCAAAGGTGCAAAAAGATTCATAAAACGCAAACTATATCTATTTCCTCTACAACTTGCCCAATTATAGTGACGTAGGGAGCTGGACAAATCCAGTCCTGTAATATCATTTTATGCTTTTAAGGTACTGAACGCATGCCAAACAAGGTTACACTAGCATACAAACTATCAAGAAAGCTAGCAGCAGCATCATCGTCGTCGTACAGCGAAATACAGAAGAGCGAACTTCGCTGATCGCTGCCATACTCACAATACATAGAAAGTTCGCTGCCATATCCTTCAATATCTCGAACCAACCGGTTGTGGAGTCTTTCGGATCCCAACCTGGAAGGTGCGTGACATCTGATAGTTCTGTGCATTTCTTCATGCCTCGTCTCCACGTCATCTGTTTAGCTCCATGTGGTGGATAATAGCTGGGCATACGAAATATGCGTACCGGCCAGCGAAGCCTACTAATCTGAATTGGATGAGCTAACAAGTTCATCGATGACAAACTCCCAAACACAGGACGTCTTACCTCCAGACTACCAACCCATTCGATCCATCCCACATGGGCTAGACTACGTAAACACCGAAAATCGAAAACATCTAGTGGATGGATATCTTCCACTTGCAAGGTCAAGATCTCTAAACCATGAGGGAGAACTGAACGAACGGTGGCATAATATACAAGACCCTTCAACTTCAATGAAAGGTCACATCTACGCCAAAGGTGTTTCAGTCCTGCGTACGCTGCTCGAGTCTTCGGAATGCGGGTGTTTGCTTTGCTAGGTTACCGTCATTGGTCACAGAACTGCCTAAATAGGAAAAACAATCCACCATAGCTAATTCCTGGCCATCTAGTTGCAAAGTGGGATTAAGCGACACCGAATCCTGTAGCATCACTCTGCACGTTGAAGATGCAATCAAACTAGAAACTTGCCCGAATCTTCATCTATCAGTACGATTACTCCAGATCAGACAGCCTGTCACCTAGAAGCGCATCGATGCCGCTATCCTTGCACGGGAAACAGGGCTGGTACAAAAATTAAATCCATCACAAATTCGAACGCCACTTTCCCAGGTGAACTCGAGCGAAAGGGAATCATAAGCTGTTACTGGGCTTCGGCTATTAGTAAAAAAGGATTACAATACTGAAACAAACTTATGGTCGGGAATAATTTATACAATAACTGAGAGCAAATAACGACTTTTCCACCCGTAGAACGCCACACCAAAAGGACTCAGCGAATCAAAGAGAAAGAAGAATTCGTGACAGATAATGCATCCAGCAGCATGAAAACGGGTCTCAAGAAGAGAGAGTTCTGAAAATACCTTTTCTCCAGTAGCGGCAAATGGGGCGTTGAACCACTGTTCAAATGTGTTTACACTCTCGAAAATGGTCGGAAGCAAGAAATTCAACAAGGCCCACAGTTCCGGCAGTTTGTTTTGGAGAGGAGTACCGGTTAGGAGTAGACGATACGGAGCAGTATAATAGGTATTCAGCACTTGAGTGAGTTTGCAGTGGTGGTTTTTCATGCGATGTCCCTCGTCAATTATCATGTATTTCCATTTGATCTGAAATCGAGAAGAGAATCTCAGTCAAGTGATAATTTCGAAATATCGTTAAATGTAACTCTATACCGCCGAAACAAATTTCAGGTCAGTTCAGTTTGCACAACCATTAACCATGCACCACCGCGTGTCGGTTTTGGTTGTCGTTCGTTGGCTGCCCATTTGGATGAACATTAGAAGACAGGAAAGGTTGAAAGTAGGATCAAAGAGAAAACTTAGAATGTTGCAGAGAAATTGAGACGCACGAGCCCCAACTGTTTACGACACTCAGTCATATCACTCAGTGTCTCTAACCATCGGGTACGATCATCCCGAGGTCCACAACCAGGGAACCTAACGGGAGGGTCTTCATACCCTTATGCCAGGTCTTAGCTTGATCACCCTTGTTTTTTTCCAATCACTACTCGCCTCGGCGAACATCACTCGCCGTGGCAACCTATCTGGTGACATGCGTAACACACGCCCCAACCAACATAATCTAAAGAGGTCAACCAGTTGCTCCAGTGGGCGTTTGCAGTTACC